TATCACCAGTATACACTTCAAAGTCATTACATTGTTAGCATAGAGTTGTGCAAGATGATTAAGTTCGATTGAAATGTCAGATCATTATTGGAAGCCTGAAATTCAATCATGACAGATTTAAGGCAGTTACCCACCGACTGTAATGCAGATTGAATAATGTCGTTAGCTAATGAATGACTAAGTAGTTGAGAGATTAGGCATTTATCCATCAAGATCGAAAGCCTCGGGTTCGAATCCTGTGCACTGATGAGGACTTTTGAAAAAGGAACGAAACAGCAGTCCAAAGCCTTAAGGTTTCCAATCATAGTCTAAGTTCTAATCTGCTTATTAACACACTTGCCATACTAAAGGTTTTTGGTTTCGCTGTATTCATCTTAAGCCATTTGTATGGCCTAGGGGGTCAATGTGACAATTAAATCTTCTCACATTGTTCTATCACAATTTATCTAAAAGGAACTGATTGTTTTAAAGTACTCATCTCAGTTATGCAACCTGTTTCATTGTGAATATTCATTCATAAATTACTTTGACTGGTTGTATGTTTTCATCCAGCCTGATTATAGTCTAACTGGAAGTAACATTCCTCATGTGTAACCTAATAATCTTCACAGCCCAGTCATGCAATTGCCTGTGCTCACTAGTGAATAGCTCCGTGAGGAATCTTCTCCGGGTTCTAGCAGGAAGTCGTGACCAGTGAAGTTCAACCAGTCTGGGTGTAGACAGTAATTATCAAAGACGGTGTAGGAGGTTGCACAACTCCGTGAATTGATCGAAGTTAGATGTTAACACCGTCAAGTATCGGTCATGTGGTCCAGGGGTTAGGCGTTCGCGCGTAGGATGAAAGGTCCTTGGTTTGAGTCTTGCCAGGTGCATACTACTGATGAGTCCAATACCAGGACGAAACCACTTGTCAGACTATCTGCAAGAAGAAGGAACAAGAGAAAAAGATGAGCCGACGAATCAGTAAGCACATAGAATAAATTTACATGCAATAGAGGAATAACGAGACAGCGTGTGAGAGAGAGAGAGGACAGACTGATAAACGAAACTACGAGTTGATAGAGTAAGGTTTCAAATACGTTACACTAGCTTTGCTTATCAAATGTCTAGCTTATTTGTTTTTGTCTGACTATGAATACCCAGTCATGCCTCGTCATCACATTGAGTTGGTCCACTCCCATTCTCTACTTTATTTTGATTTGCTTTGCATCCTGTCGTCTGTCTGCTTACATGACTGTGTGAAATAAATTCACCCACATTAAAACCATATTCGACTTTGAATTACCGCTGAGGCACAAGCAACTGAGTTAGCCAAAAGATAGTATTTCTTACAGTATTCACTAGCTTAACATTTAAATAGAATCACTCATTAAATTCACTTATACACAGATGCTTTTTGATTTGAATGCAGAAAATTACACATTCCGTTTAGGTAATTTTCCATTCAAGTTACGGTTTTCAATCATAATTGGATAATTGTGAAGGTGTACGTTTGTAATTTTCTCGTTCAATGCTAATTGTCTGTCTTGATTTGAATGTTGTTGGTGTTGTGAGATGGTGCCGTCATGTACGTGATTTCCACAATGACATTGTACGCTTTGTAATAGTCACTTCAATGATACACAGCTTACGTTTTGATAATAGAATTAAGGTCTTTTTTTATAGCTTAGATGTGGAATATTTTCAGTTGGGTCTATATTACTTCATTTTGTAAAACTTGAAAAAAACTCCTCAGTGGATTTGTTTTTGGTGACTATATACTATGTAACATGGGACTGATAGCTTGTTTTAGAAAGTTGGTTTTATATAGGATGAGGCCGACAACCGCATGTCCAACCCTACTTCTTTATCCGGGTTTGGGTCTGGTAGTAACTGTTGAAGGGCTTCAGGTGGAGTGTATTGTTCAGTAATTACCTACTAAGTGGTATTTAGTCAGTTCGTGAGATTAAAACGCTAAATGATACCTTGATAATTATCATGGACTCAATTACATCTGGATACATATGTAATTCCTTGGGTAATAGTAGAAGGCTGTGATTAGTGAAAAGAGAAAACATGTCAGATATGAAACAGATACCTTTTGAAGTCATAAGATACGCTCTTACTTGGAAACATCAAGATGAACAGAAAAGAGGAAGACTTAAGAACACATTAGGCCGAAAAACGGAGACAGATATGGGAAGAATAAACAGTGGTTAGATAGAACTTGAAAAGAAGAGCTAGGACAGAGTAGGTTGGAAAGTGCTGGTCGACTAACTATGCTCAAATGGGAGTAACAGGAGTAAGTAAGTAAATAAGTAACCGGAGGTCTTTAATTCAATTCCTGGTTTCCAAAGGTAGATGCACACTGCTGAGGAGTCCCATAGGAGGACGGAATGAACAACCAGAAATTTCCAGGTTATCAGTGGTGTCCTAATGAGAGTCGTTTCACGAATAAAAATTTATCAAAAAAATAAGTACGTAAAATAAATATGTAAAATCACTTAAGCTCTATATTATAGCACAACTCACTAACTACATGCAAATAGTATGAAATAATTTCAGTTACGTAAAAATGTTAGAATCTAATTCTCTATTGTTTATCTAACCGTACCAATAATAATAATAATAAAGTCACCATCTGTTGATCGTTTCGCCTTACATGATCCAGTAAATCACTGTTAATTATACTTTTGTCGACTTCCGCGCAAAGTCAACAAGAATACTAATGTGTCTCTAGTCGTTTTATGATACTTTTAACGTGGACAGATGGCGTCTGTCAATTTATTTATTTTTTTTTTGACAAAGTTTAATATATTTTCGGTTAATTTTTTACTTACGAAAACAATGATTTTTTTAAAAAATATTTCGTCTCTTTTTGATAAACCATGATAAGGCAATGAGAAGATAGTAGGTATATTAGCGTTATGTGATTTTGACAGACTTTGAATAACATGGCTTAAAATTGCTAGGATTGGCGCAGGTGCATGCATTCTTTGTGTTGTTGTATCAAATTCAAATCTTTTGAATTCCTCATCACTTTTATCTTTCTCTTCAGCGTGTTATTTCACTGGATGATACTTCCATCCAGTACTAGGAGATTTTAACTAACGATTTCCTCTCTGAGATGGTACAGAACATTTCTAGCACAGGTGGATATTTATGGTGGGGTTTCACTCTCCTAGTTGGATGTTTTAGTTGTGAAGCTTGCATTAATTTCTTCTGAACAATATCATCACTACAAACTTCAGGTAGGAATTCAAATACTTCACTTCTACCTGAAGTTTGTGCTCATGTTATCTAGATCGGAACACGGAAATCCATCTTAATTTCATCGCTCTGTGCTAATTTTTTCCCCCTCCAAATGCGAAATGTTGTTTCAAGACTGGGTTGCATCGGCACCTGAACTAGTGATAGGGAGTGAAGTAGTCGAGCGTGTTGACCACTTCATTTACCTGGGGAGTTTCATCAGTTCCGATGGCCTGGTGACTGACGAAACCTCAGCACGGATTCAGAGGGCTCGATTGGCTTTTGCCAACCTACGTCACTTATGGCGAAGGCGAGATATCCGTTTGCTGACTAAAGGACGAGTATAATGTGCAGTGGTTCGCTCCGTCTTACTTTATGGCTGTGAAACATGGCCAGTGAGAGTAGAAGATATTCGTAGGTTACTGGATTTCGATCATAGGTGTCTTCGAAGCATTGCTCGTATATCCTGGGACACCCGAGTGAGCAACGCTGTTATTAGGAAACGGGTGCTAGGTAAGAATGGTAGACCAATAGATGAAGTATTAAAACTTCATTAGTTGAGGTGCGTATGCCTAACCACCGACTGCCTCGACGAGCTTTGTTTTGTAGTGTAGGAATAGGTCGGAAGAAAGTTAGAGGCGGCCAAATCAAAACATGGCATAAATCCATGAAGTCATTGACGAGTGGACTGAGCCATGTCGGTAGTTGTCGACTACCTGGTTGGGGACCGCGAGATGATAATAATCGATGGTTAGAGACGTTGAATGACATGGCTCAAAACCGTTCGCAATGGCGCCGGTACATTTATTCTTTGTGTTCTCTCAAATCCTAATCTTCTGGATTCTTCGATCCTTCTAGTTTTGACTTTCTAAACTTATCTCACTGAGTCATACTTCTCGAATAATATCTTCTAATCCTAACCTCTCCGATTACTTCTAATTCCTTTGCTACCTCTTCTACTATTGGATCTGAATTGACAATTATACCTCTGTGCTGAAATGGTAGGGTAACATGAACTGATGTACTTACGTACGAAGTTCTACGTTGCATCTGACTGACTGACTGACTGACTGACCCGCTGTGCTATTACAGTATGTTAACTTGAATTGAGTAAGTACATACCAATTTGAATGTTACATCTGACTAATTGAATGAATACACTTCAAACAATCTGATCAGATATAAACTTTTGAAGAATATCAGTCAGAAAAATTAGATCATGGAGACAAAGACTGTAAAGTACACAATATGAAAAGCATTCTGGATATTACCCAGGCAAGCTAAGTGTAAGAACAAACTGTTTTTGAACACATAAAAGGAGTTTCAATTTTCATCCAACTTATGATTCAATAAACTTTAGTATCATCCTTATGACCAGTCTTAAACAAATGTGTCGCGACGCAGCAGCTCAATCCGCGTCGGGTGTGAGACAGTTATCCACTGTGGATAATTGGTGAGGCATGAGCAACATTATGGATTGATTGAAGTCGGACAATACAACTTTGGGATGTTAGTTCAGTCAGTGGTTTAGAGATTAGGCATTCATGTACGAGACTGTCAGTCCTATGTTCCATCCCCTCCCTCTGGGTCGGGGATATGCACTGCTGAGGAATCTCAAACTAGAGACAAATGACTTTTAGGTGCTGCTAGGTTTCCAGTAGCAGTCTAAATACCATCACTTCAGTGAAAATAATACACTCTTCACAAGCCACCTTCACTCATAACAAATCACCACTGATTAATTTCATGTGTTTCTGTTGATTTGCTTACAGGCTCGTGTTGAACTCGTGCTAATATTTGTTAAAGTTGGTCAAGTCGACACAGTGAATGAACGATATCAAGCAGATATATTCCTTCAAGCAAGATGGCGTGAACCATTGTTGGATGCAATGTGGAATAAATCAAGTTTAAAATCAAAAAGTAGCTGGCAATTACAACCTTCCATTGAAAATCCATTCACTGATTTAACATCAAAACGACAATTGAATACGGTAATTTTATTTTATTTAGTATTGATATTTTTACACATTTGAAATCATTAATCAATCAATCATTGTTAGACCACACCATTAGTAAACTGGAAGCACTGAAAGACGGCCGTTTCGTCCTGGTATGGGATTACTCATCAGTAGCAGTGCGCACCCGCGACTCCTGCACCTCGCAGGATTCGGAACCAGGACCTTCGGTATTGAGCGCAGACATCTAACCTCTGGACCACTGGGCCGGCATACAACGGTGTTAGTGTCTAACTTTGATTGATCTAGGGATTTTGCGCGACCTCACCCATTTGTGTCTGGTAGTTACTGCCTACACCCGACAGGGTTGAACTCCATTGTTCACGTCTTCTCCACTAGAACTTCGTGGAATTTCCTCGTGAAGCTAGTTACTAGTGAGCACGGTTACGATATTTTGCGGGCAGAGTTTTTGGAGGTTTGTGTTTTTACACATTTGAAATCATCAATCAATCATTGTTACTGATATTATTGATATGATTTTTTCCGTATAAATTTCTTAGACCTACCCACTTCATAATACTCTAATCCGAAATCGAAAATTTTTGCTCACTACTGACTAGCTTCATGAAAAAATCCTGGTAGTTCTTGTGTGAAGATGTAACTGGTAGGGTCCAAACCTGTCGGGTGTAACTACAGTAACTACTGAGGACCATGGATGAGGTTGTACGAAATTCTTAGATTGATCTGAGTTAGTTGGATACCGGCTAAGTGGTCCACATGTTAGTCGTTCGCGCGCATGACCAAAGGTCCTAGGGTCGAATCCTAAGGGTGGTAGGAGTCATGGATGTGAATTGCTGATGAATCCCATATCAGTGATTTCAAGTTTCTAATGATAGTTTAAAAATATTTCATTCATGATTTCAAGGTTAAACGCGAAACAAATAATCTTGAGATTTCAAGGAGATTCAGTTTACAATGTAGTTTAACTGAGTTAAAAGTACAAAATGATACTGAATGATAGTTGCACAATTTGAAAACTGTACAATTATAAGTTGTTTTTTTAATATAATTTACCAACTAGATTTCCTAGAAATACACAGTTCAATCTATGACAATATTTCAAGATTGCACTCCTGATAATTATCAAACTGTGATTTAAAAATGGTCGTTCAATGAATGTGAGTATTTGTAGCTCAGAAAAAAAAGATTCTGAGAGAATTTCCGTCTCTCAAGATTTCACACTTTTTCCAAAGTGATATCACTAATAATTACTTTAGAAAAGAAGATAAAACACCACGCTGAGTTTTTAAATCGAGGAGCGACAGTTTAGCGTTAAATTCAACCAGTGAAGTAGTCTATTGACAATGACTAATTCCTCAATCTAAACTGTTTATCCACTCAAAAGAATAGAATATAGCCATTAGATTAAAGAGATGTCAGATATCAATTTTGTGCTGGTTGATACATATTCATCAAAGGGAACCTTTGCTCTTGAATAAACTAAAGATTTCTATAAGATTAAAATACGTATCATCTTGATTCAGCCACTTTTTGGGATTGAAACTTTCAAGCTGATTGATTACTCGGTAATGATGAATGTCAAGTTCCTCTAGTCCTTTAATACTGATACATTACAGCTCAATGACGATTTGTACTGAATACCAGGTTTCCCTTCAAGCGTTCATTTGACTCATTTGACCTAACTTACTCTGTCCTGAGCCTTTCTTTTCCAGTTCTATCTCACTACTATTCATTCATTTTCATATCTGCTTTGATTTCCGGGCGTATTATGTTCTGAGGTCTTTTTTATTTCCCTTTTGCCGTTAATATTTCAAATGAGAGTTTATCTTGTGAAGCAGTTGGATGCTTTCTTAAATGTGTATCCTATCCACCTCCAGTTTTTCTTTCTGATTTTTTCTTGTGCGTTATACATTTGTAGTCAACCTTATTCACAGACATTTTTGCTTCGCTCATGTTTATGCTGTACTTTGGTCTAATCTGTTTGTACATAAACGAAGTCTACTCTAAATGTAGAGGCTAGTTGCTGACTTCTGAAATCAAGGGAAAATCAAAAATATACAATCGTAAGCTAATCGGGATTCAAATTCTGACCTGAGGTCAGTATTATGTAGAAGGCGTGTAATCAGTGAAATAACGCTCCCGAACACCTATTATTAGTTCAAACTATCTGTTTATGACTTATTTATCCAAATTTTACATTTCAGTCTTGTTTTTTTAATGACTGTCAGTCAATTTTCAACGGTATCCTTTTGTTTTATTGAAATCGTGAATCGATCATTGTTAGACCACCATTGGAAACCTGAAAACAAGGGACAGCCTTTCTATCTTAGTCTGAAACTCCTCATCAGTGCACAAGCGCGAGATCCACTTGCGGGAATCGAACGTATGACCTTCGATCTGCCGTGTGAATACTTAGCATCTAAACTACTGAAGCAAAATCCAACGGTGTTAGCGTCTAACTGTGATCAACCCACCATATTGCATATCTTCACTCATCCGACAGGGTAAAACTCCACCAGTCATGGCTTCTCACCAGAACTCCGAAACTTTCCTCTCAAAGTCAGTCTCAAGTCAGCACAAACCTTCGACTGATTAAAGTTGGATATTAACACCAATGGATGTCGGCTCAATGGCCTAGAAGTTAAGTGTTCGCCTACCAGATTAAAGGTCCAAGGTTCGATTCCTGTGAGTGGAGGCAGTGAATGTGCGCTACCGAAGAGCCTCAGGTTTTTAAAGGTGGTCTAACAATGATCGATTCACGATTTCAATAAAACTTAAAAGTCCACAGCTCTATCATGAAAAGCATATTTTTTCACAATTCTGAATTGTCTAAAACGTATGACTCTATGAATTCTGACGGAAAATTTGCTACATATTAACAGGAAATGGTTAAACAGTTTTTTGAACGTTATTACAACATAAAAAATAGTTTTGTCACTGAATGATACCAAGTTGGTTGAAGTCCTTCATGCCGCTTGAATCCTATAATTCATGACTTAATCTTGGAGCTTTCAAGCACACAACTGAGGAATGAACACTTGTCTAATGTTATCCCAGTATGTCTTTATGTAATATCAGTCTACACAGGAACCAGCTTTTACAGTAAACTAATTATGAGTTGATGTTAAACCATCTGAAAGTACACGATGACTGTTTCGTCCAAGTACGAGACTCGTCAGCATCCTCTATCTCCCCCCCACACAAGTGTCGAACCCAAGACCTCTAGTTTAGAGCATTTGAACGCCTCACCTCTAAACCAACTAGCCATCATAACTTAAGAAAAATATATCATCTTAGATGAACCAAGCACGTTTGTCCTCTCAAATTAAATTTTCTCATTGCTAATTCTAGTTTACAACTATTAAATATTCATATCGAGTTTAATGAAAAACACTTTCGGAATAATGAATCGCTCTTCATTTTTTTCTGTTCAATTCAACTGTCAAAAACAGTTATTATCAGAAATTAGTATTTTTATTACGTGTGCTTTTTTTCTCCTCACTTGAAATACTTCTCTTGACAATCAGTTTTTGTAAGGGATTATTTAAAACACCATTCATTGTTTAACAGTTCAATTTTTCAATTGAAACTGATCGAATTTTTTTTCAATGAAACCTATAATTGAATTGGAAATAAAAACCAAAAAACAACTATTCGCTATAAATGGAGAGAGATATATTTGCTAGTAATCGATGACAGGCAGAAATCCATCGACGAGTGGACTTAGCCATGTCGATAGTTGTCGACTACCTGGTCGGGGTCCGCGAGATGATAATAATCGATGGTTAGAGACCTTGAATCACAAGGCTCCAAACCGTTTTCAATGGTAACGGTGCATTTATTCATTGTGTTCTCTCAAATCCTAATCTTCTGGATTCTTCAACGCCTCTAGTTTCGACTCTCTAAACTTTTCTCACTGAATCATACTTCTTGAATAATATCTTCTAATCCTAACCTCTCCGATTACTTCTAATACCTTTACTACCTCTACTACTATTGGATTTGAATTGACGATTATACCTCTGTGTTGATGTGGTATGGCAACATGAACTGATGTACTTACGTACGAAGTTCTACATTGCATCTGACTGAGTGACTGACTGACTGGATGTATGCATGTTTGGGTCCTGTTTTTGGACTTGTCAGATGGATGCATTTGTATCTGACAGGTTATATTCACTCTGGGACTCGAACCCATTATGGTTCGCTACACACATAAACCATTGTGTTATTCACACAGCTAACAAGTTGAAACAGCTACTGGCTTGTGCAATGGGTTGAAGTTCAATATATATTTGTATGATCGATATTTAGAAGTGTGATCCTGTGAAGATTGCCTCACTCGTTAAGTGAGCAACGGAATTAAGTTTGAAGCGAAGGGTACTGACTTCTAGTCATGCAATGAACATAAAATCTGAGTGTTGGTTGGTGGATATATCTGACAGTTCATCCTTGATTCCCCTCCGAACCATTATCCATCTCTGTTTATAATACTTGTGACTGAATGGCATCATCAACATGATGCGCACAAGATGTACATCAGTCATAACTACCAATGGAAAGATTCAAACGACCGCCATAAATCAATCAATCCATTAGTGAATTAAACATTAACTAAATAAGTAGAGCTCAAATTCAATTGTGTATTGATTTTTTTAAGTTTGATTAAAAAATTCTTTTAGATAAGGTATTATGTTTTCATGACTTCCTTATTTCTAACATGTATTGAAAATGGAATCTTAAACTAGTGTTGTATGTTAATAGTCTTCCTTCCTTACTTACTCCCCTACTTACTTACTTACTTACTTACTTATGCACTTACTTACTTACTCACCTACCTACTTAATTACCTACCTACTAAGGCACTTATGCACGTACACACCTACTTACTTCCCTACTTACTTACTTACTGACTTACTTACTTACTTACTTACTTACTTAATTACTTACTTACTTACTTACTTACTTACTTACTTACTTACTTACTTACTTACTTACTTATTTACTTACTTACT